AACTCCATATGCTCCGTCCATAAATTAGTACCTATATGTATATAAGGTATATATGTGGATATTATATATTTCCTCCATAAAACCAGTTATAGACTGAATTTAAATTCCGATATAATATATATATCATATAATATTAATATATTTTATGATTTACAGCAAGTTGCAGCTGATGATCTCCGTAGCCGTTTTACAATATCCTCGTACCAGTGTATAGTAGCTACCACCTGATGCTGATGAGCGACGACATAGTAAATGATAAAATAATATGGTATTATATAGGTATTTATTGAGCAACGTATTAATCGTGGTGATATGTAATATTATTAGTATTAATTATTATTATATACACGACCTGACGCTATGTTTCTATTTGATCGTAGGTCATGCACGTCGACAACACGCATTCTGTCGAATAGCTATATATAGGTGACTACCTATATTCAGCGACGTATTCCGTCGCTCATTTTTTTAATGAGAAGGTGGAGCTTAAAAATCAATGACAGTTGTATTTATGTTTTGTTCAGACGTTCAGGTGTGGTATTTGAAAATGTTTACACTGTTGCAACTCCATCGTTTTTAGTAGAAGAAATGTTTGTGGGTTTTAAACTTCGAAGACGATTTTTGGAAACAAATTTGATCTAGTTCGTATTAATGGAAGGTCAAAATTGGAAATTCTCAGTACCTACTAAATAATCAGGGAAAACAAAAATAAATTAATCAAAAATTTGTTAAAATTATTTGGTAACCTATTTATTGGTTATACCTTCTTCGCTTAGATTATATTTGATTAATTTTAGTTTTTTTCTAAAAATATCAATAAAAGAAAAAATTTCTCGTTCGTAAAAAACGGATTTTTATAAGCATTTAAAATTCAAATGTTGAAAAAACAACAGTTAATTTCGAATTAATTTTTAGTTAAAAATGTATAAATATTAAAATTATTCTTCATGTAAGTACCTACACCATTAATAACTTTCCCAGTCTTGTATTTCGGTATATTATGTGTAGAGCGCTGATTTTTATGCACTTATAACTTATAATTATTTTTTTTACATAATTTATGTGTTATAGGAATAAGATGGAGACAACGAATAGTTCGTAATTTGTGTTACAAAAAACGAAAAATGTGTTGACTAATTTTGGATCACTAATTTAGTGAATATTTTTCGTATGTTTAATCGAAGAAAAAATATAATGTTGTATTAAGTCAGCTTTATCTTTATTGGCCAATGAAACAAATATTTATTAAATTACAAATTTAATAAAAGGTCTTATGTTC